CACTTGCAGTTTTCAGGAAACAAAAGTGAACTGTTGCAAGATGTATTGTGATTCCCTAGCAATTTGAAACGATGAGCTTAAATTGTTTCTGAACAGACCACAGAAAACTTGAAGCGGTAAATATTGTATAACTCTTGCCCAACATGGCGTTTCTTATCTTACCAAAATACAGAGCTCTACCCCTTGTGTCTGTAAAACAACTTACAGACATTACCACATTTTAGGAAGGATGTTAAAAAGCTTGAGCATGTCCAGAAGAGGGCAACCAGGATGGTGAGAGGGTTGGAATCCAAGTTTTATGAGGAAAGGCTGAAAGAGTTGGGTCTGTTTAGCCTGGGAAAGAGAAGGCTTGGAGGGGACAGGATTGCAGTCTTCAAATATCTGAAGGGCTGTCATGTAGAAGATGGAGCAGATCTGTTCTCTCTTGCTCCGGATTGCAAGACTAGGTCTAATGGGTGGGAATTACAAGGGAGTCGTTACCGGCTAAATATCAGGAGAAACTTCCTAACTGTCAGAGTGGTTGAGCAGTGGAACAGTCTGCCTCTGGAGGTGGTGGAGGCTCCTTCGCTGGACGTTTTCAAGCGGAGGCTGGACGACCATCTTTCTGGCCTGTTGTAGGTATGTAGGGCTATCTTTCAGCTATGCTCCTGCAGAGTGCAGGGGGTGGGACTAGATGCCCTGCAAGGTCCCTTCCAACTCTAACATTCTATGATTCTATAAGTCCTGGCCTGGTAAAAAAAAAGTTTGTCTCTGTACCTGAATTGTTATTCAAAAGTCACAAGGTGAAAAGTCTTTAGACATACTTGTGATTTCAGCTCTAAGACTTTTATTCGGAAAGAACAAGACAAAGTAGCCGGCTCGCAGGCCGGCTTATATGCCCCAAGGAAAACACACACGCACGTCCAAAACCCGTGACTGGTCTATCTACAGAGATTAAATTAAACCTAGCCGGCCACATGACCACGGAAATGTCTTCGGACAGCGCTGGCTCTTCGGCTTTGAAATGGAGATGAGCACCGCAACCCTAGAGTCAGATTCGACTGGCTTTCGAGCAAGGGAACCTTTACCTTTTTACCCTAGGTTCCCGATTGGCCGGGAACTAGGAGCCAAATGTCTGTTGTGTTCTAGGTTTGTTAACCATGCAGGCTTTTTCCTATACCTGTTTGTGCCTTTCCTAACCTGCGGAATATTTTTTTTTGAGCTTCTAGGATTGTGGTTTTAAATAGTTTCCAAGCTTCCCCAATGGTTTTCGACCCTTTCTACTTTTCCTTTCAGTTTTCTCCTGACATGTCCCCTCATATCAGAGAAGTTACCCCTTTTAAAATTAAAAGTGGTTGTGTCAGTCTTTTTGGCCAATTCCCTATTTATACAAATGTTGAACTCAACAACATTATGATCACTGTTCCCAAGCAGTGCAATCACTTTTACATCTCTCACCAGATCTTGAGTGTTACTTAGGACCAAATCAAGGATCGCCACTCCCCTGGTAGATTCCGTGACCATCTGCTCCATAGCACAGTCATTTAGAGTGTCTAGAAACTCAATCTCTTTTTCTTGACTAGAACACATATTGACCCAATCAATGTGTGGGTAGTTAAAATCACCTATTACGACACAGTGTTTTTGTCTAGCTGCTATCTTTAATTCATTCATCATTTTATAATCCTCCTCTCTCTTTTGATCTGGTGGGCGATAACAAACTCCCAGTGTTAAGTTTCCTTTTGGCCCCCCTATTTCAACCCATAGAATTTCCAGAAGTGAATCCAATTCT